GAGTGCAGTGGCTGCTCCTGGCCACCGCAGCCTTAACCTGCTGGGCTCCGGCGATCCTTCTGCCTCAGCCTTCCGAGTAGCCAGAATTACAGGCTTGTGCTACCACGCCCGGCTCATTTTTTGATTTATTGTAGAGATGAGGTCTCAACGCCCAGGCGGGTCTCGAATTCGCGGGCTCCGGCAATTCACTCACCTCAGCCTCCCAAAGGTGCGGGATTACAGGCTGAGCCACCGAGCCCAGCTTCTTTTTTTTTTTGATTTGGAGTCTCACTCTGTCGCCCAGACTGGAGTGCAGTGGCCGCTCCCGGCCACCGCAGCCTCGACCTGCTGGGCTCCGGTGATCCTTCCGCCTCAGCCTTCCGAGTAGCTGGAATTACAGGCATGCGCTACCATGCCCGGCTGATTTTCTGATTTATTATAGAGATGAGGTCTCGCTGCCCAAGTGGGTCTCGAACCCGCGGGCTCAAGCAATCCACTCACCTCAGCCTCCCAAAGGCGTGGGATTACAGGCTGAGCCACTGAACCACTGAACCGGCTGAGCCACTGAGCCGGCTGAGCCTGGCTCTTGATAACATTTTTAACAGTTCCAAATAACTTTCAAAGAAGGGGACTTGGTTGTCAAGGTTGGTTCTTTCAGATGTAGATTCCTCCTGTCTTTGTGTTAATTCTTATCTGCAGGGGATTAATTGCTATGTGGTTATTTAAGGCAGTTTAATTCCACATTTACTTTCCCCTGCTATCTACCCAGCTGCCAAGAGGCTTCTGCTATCAGATGGTGTGTGATGAATATCCCAGGGAATGCAAATGAATTTTTTTTTTTTGAGTTGGAGTCTCACTCTGTTGCCCAGACTGGAGTGCAGTGGCTGCTCCCGGCCATCGCAGCCTCGCAGCCTCGACCTGCTGGGCTCCGGACATCCTTCCGACTCAGCCTTCCGAGTAGCCGGAATTACGGGTATGCGCTACCATGCCCAGCTGATTTTTTGATTTATTGCGGTCTCTTTGCCCAGGCGGGTCTCGAACCCGCGGGCTCAGGCAATCCACTCATCTCAGCCTCCCAAAGGCACGGTCTTACAGGCTGAGCCACCAGAGCCTGGCTAATTTTTTTTTTTTTGAGTTGGAGTCTCATTCTGTCACCTAGACTGGAGTGCAGTGGCTACTCCCGGCCACCGCAGCCTCGACCTGCTGGATTCTGGCGATCCTTCCGCCTCAGCCTTTCAAGTAGCTGGAACTACAGGCAGGTGTTACCACGCCCAGCTAATTTTTTTGATTTATTGTAGAGATGAGGTCTCGCCAAGTTGCCCAGGCGGGTCTCGAACCGTCGGGCTCAGGCAATTCACTCACCTCGGCCTCCCAAAGCACGTGATTACAGACTGAGCCAACGAGCCCGGCTTAATTTTTTAATTTATTGTAGAGATGAGGTCTTCCCAAGTTGCCCAGGATGGTCTCGAACCTGTGGGCTCAGGCAATCCTCTCACCTCGGCTCCCAAAGTGCTGGGATTATAGGCATAAACCACAGTGCAAGGCCAACATTTTCTTTAAGACCACTCAGGCTGGGCATGGTGGCTCACACCTCTAATACTAACACTTTGAGAGGTGGAACCTGGAGTACTGCCTGAGCCCAAGGGTTCGTGACTAGTCCGGGCAACTTGGCAAGACCTCATCTCTAATAAATAAATTAGCCAAACATGTTGGCACATGCCTGTGGTTCCAGCTAGTTAGGAGGCTAAGGAGAAAGTACTGCCTGAGCCCAGAAGGTGAAGGTTGCAGTGGATGTGAGGGTGCCACTGTACTCCAGCCTAGGCGACAGAATGACTTTGACTCAAAAAAAAACCAAAACAGAAGAAAACCCGAGACCAAACACTCAAATGTTACTCAAGTTACAGGCTTCCTGTTACAGCTGGGGTTGTGCCTTGGCATTCCTACAGCCTTTGGTTCACACCCTTCAATGGCACTTACCACATACCGTAACTCCTGCTTGGCATTGAAGCTATTTGTAAAAGATTTCTTCTCCTCTATTAGATTGAATGAGAGGGCAACCCCCACAGGTCCCTTCTCACTGTGGGAGCTTTTCTGTCCTTTCAATAAATTCTGTTTCTAGTTGGGTGCGGTGGCTCAAGCCTCTAATCCCAGCACTGTGGGAGGCTGGGGCAAGAGGACTGCCTGAGCCCGGGGTACAAGACCAGCCTGGGCAACTTGGTGAGACTGCATCTCTACAATAAATAAAAAAATTAGCTGGGCGTGGTAGTGTGTGCCTGTGGTTCCGGCTACTTGGAAGGCTGAGGATGAAGGATCGCCTGAGCCCAGCAGGTCAAGGCCATTGCACTCCAGCCTGGGTGAGAGTGAGATTCCAACGGGAAAAAAAAAAAAAAATCCTTTCTCAAAAAAAAAAAAAAAAAAAAAGAAAGAAAGAAAGAAAGAAAGAAAAAAGATTGAATGAGAGTGGCAACTGGGTTTTACTTATTCTTCTCTGAGGGCAAGAGCTGCTAGATATGTGAAGGGAGACGGAGACGCAATTCGACCAGCTACCTGACCTCCTTGCTCTGGGCTTACCTCCTCCTCCAGGAGCGTTGTGAGTTTATGTATGTTAAGTCGAGTGGAAAACATAGTGTTCAGCACATCGCATCTTGTTCCAGGAACAAATTAATCAGATGCCTGGGTACCTAATTTGGAGTACACATCTGGACTTCTCCTTCCTCTGTTGCTATCGCCCCTCTGTGGTGGCTTGTCTCCCTAACAAGGCAGGTAGCTTAGTATGGAGTGTTAGTCAAGGTCTCACTCTGTTGCTCAGGCTGGTTGCAGTGACACGATTACGGCTCACTGCAACTCAGATCTCCTAGGCTCAGGCGATGTTTCCACCTCAGCCTCCCATGTAGCTAGGAGTACAGGCCTGCGCCACCACACCTGGGTACTTCTTTCCTCCCGTTTTTAAACTTTTTGTAGCTAAAATGTTCGCTATGTCTCGTTATGTTGCTTAGGCTAGTCTGGAGCTCCTGGGCTCAACCAATCCTCTTGCCTCGGCCTCCCAAAGTGCTGGGATTACAGGCATTGGTACCGTGCCCTGCCGCTACTGGCAATGAATACACCTCACGGCTGAGTCCCAGTTCCAAGGCGCTGGTGCTTATGGCACTCCCCGAAATTCCTGAAGGGCCGCTGGGACAGGCACCCCCAAACCACGTTTGGGCAGCTCGCTCGCTGAAGGTTTCCAGCTGAAAAGTGTAATGGCAGAAAATGAGAAAACCCAGTCTCAGGGTTTGTTGCACTTGGCCTGTGTTGACTTCGAGCCAGGATAATCACGAAGGCCGGAATGGGATACCCCAGGGGTCGTTGGTCCTGCTGTTTGACTCCTTGAGATCGGTGGGCTGGACAGAGCCTTGGAGCTGTAGCGGGCGACAACCTGAGTGAGTGGAAGGGGTGCCAGACAGCCGCTGCAGCGGTTCTACTGCAGGAAACCGTCGCAAAGCACGGCCGACAGTGCGGAGGAAGCCGCGGTTCCTATCCCTGGCCCCGAGGTTTTCCGTGTGTCTTTCCGCTCCAGTGTGCACTGATGGGAGAAGAGGCGGATGGGGGTGGGGAGGATAGGCCGAGGGGGCAGGCGCTCAAAGCCGCAGCGCGAGGAGCTGGAGAGCGCGCACGGCTGTGCGTGCGTGCGTGGGCGCGGCCCGTGACACGCCGTGCGCGGGGCGGATGTCCGGGTCGGCTGGGCCCTCGGACGAGATGGCGGAAGGCGGAGGCTGCCGTGAGCGACCGGATGCGGAGACCCAGAAGTCCGAGCTCGGGGCCTTAATGAGGACCACACTCCAACGGGGGGCGCAGTGGTGAGCACCCGGCCCGCTCTCCTGTTGCGCAGTGCCGGGGGCCGGGACTCTCGCCCTTAGGCCAGGCCCCTTTTCTCGGCTTGGGTGGGGGCCGGGCGGGGGCGGCGTCTAGTGACCCTGAAAGAATGACTTGACACTGGCCCCTCAGGAAAGGAACGCCAGGATCAGCTCTGGAAAAGTGAGGGCGGGGCTGGGGGTTGTCTCGGCCCATTCGGAGTCTAAGAGGGCGGGCCAAGAGGGGGCCAGGGTGTAGATTGCGGAGAAGGGGAGTGCTCGCGGGGACCATGAGGGTGGGGAGAGCCTTTTACCTTGGAGGACTCGCCGTGTGACCTTGAGCGAAGGTGTCCACACCTCACAGACCTCGGTTTCTTTCTGCTAAAACCAGGGTAGTAACATTTGGCTCACCACTCTCAGTGGGTTGAGTTGAAAATCAGAAGTGGATACTTCGTAACTTGTAAACTGCCAAACAGATGTTAAGGTTAGAAGCTGAACAAATGTCGGAGTGTTCCAGATTATTTTGGTAGCAAATGTCCAAAATATTTGTGGCAGCAGTATCTCGGAGTGCGAGAGTTTAGCCTAGATCCTGGAGCTAGATAGAAAAAGTTTTAAAAGTCCAGAGTTTAGAAGAACAAGACATTTATAAAGTTTCTTTTTTTGTTTGAGTTGGAGTCTCACTCTGTCACCCAGGCTGAAGTGCAGTGGCACACTCACGGTCACCGCAGCCTCAACTTGCTGGACTCAGGTGATCCTTCTGCCTCAGGCTTCCAAATAGCTGAGACTACAGGCACACACCAACATGCCCGGCTCATTTTTTTGATTTTTTGTAGAGATAAGGTCTCACCAAGTTGCCCAGGCTAGTACCAACCAGTGAACTCAGGCAATCCTCTCATTTTGGCCTCCCAGAGTGCTGGGATTATAAGTGTGAACCACCGCATCCCACATATAAGTTTTCTTAATAGACTGTTGGGTAGAAGGGACAATACTTTCTGGGTGGTGATGTGTGGGAGTAGAAAATTGGGGCTAGGCTCTGCAATGAGTATGACTGAGGATCATCTGTCTTTAAGGAACTTTGAGGTGCTGATCCACAGAGGAATTGAGCAGGGAATAGAAACATTGGGGTTAGGAGAGGTTCACATACAGCTTTGTGTATTCGTTTTGAGCTAGTCAAGCTGTGAAAAGCAGAGGTATTTTTTAAATTAACCTGCGTAGAGGTGGTAAAGAATACACAGCAGAAGCAGAGGAAGTTTAAGTTATCTGAAAACACACAAAGATTATATGGAAAGGAATTTGGAGGGAAAACTACACTGTAGAGATTTGAATGGTGTTTATGGGCACTTGTGGCATCTGGGAAGCTGATCTCTGATGTTTGTGGGTTATAAAATTTGAAGGACGTACCCATATGATTTTTGGTGCGTTGTTGCCCCACATAAGTTTTCCTCTTTTTTATTTTTATTTTTTTGAGTTGGAGTCTCACTCTGTTGCCCAGACTGGAGTGCAGTGGCATGCTTATGGCCTCTGCAGCCTCGATGTGCTGGGCTCAGGTGATCCTTTTGCCTCAGCCTTCCAAGTAGCTGGAACTACAGACACGTGACACCATGCCTCGCTAAATTTTTTGATTTATTGTAGAGATGAGGTCTCGCCAAGTTGCCCGGGCTGGTCTTGAACCCATGGGCTCAGGCAGTTCTCTCACCTCAGCCTCCCAAAGCGCTGGAATTATAGGTGTGAACCACCTTGCCTGACCTCTTTCCTAATTGTAAAACAGCATAGTGATACTTACACTAACATTTTAATTTATTTGTCCTCTAACCAGAAAATAAAATATAAAGTTGACTTCCCATTTTCTTTGAATAGTTAATAAACTCTGTTGTTTTTTTTTTTTGAATTGGAGTCTCACTCTGTCACCCACACTGGAGGGCAGTGGTTGCTCCTGGTCACCGCAGCCTCCACCTGCTGGGCTCCAGCCATCCTTCCACCTCAGTCTTCCAAGTAGTTGGAACTACAAGCGCGCGCTACCACGCCCGGCAGATTTTTTGATTTATTGTAGAGATGAGGTCTCACCAAGTTCCCAGGCGGGTCTCGAACCCACGGGCTCAGGCAATCCATCCACTCACCTCAGCCTCCCAAAGCACTGGGATAATAGGCTGAGGCACCAAGCCCGGCTAGTTAATAAACTCTTAGTGTGGTCTTGAAAGTACTATGTGATCAGTGCCCTAACATTCCCGTCTTCCATTCCCGTCACAAGTTTTACTTTGTCATATCATTGTGTATATTAAAAATTTTCATACATAGTCACCTTCCATTTTATTTATTTATTTACTTTTTTTTGTTTGTTTGAGTTGGAGTCTCTTACTCTGTCGCCCAGACTGGAGTGCAGTGGCCGCTCCCGGCCACGGCAGCCTCGACCTGCTGGGCTTCAGCGATCCTTCCGCC